AGCCATTCTTTCTTCAAATAATACATTTTTTCTTTCACATCAAGTAGGGTCTATGACTGAAAAGAGACACAAAAAATGTGTGATTTGACACAAAGAATGCATTTTTTTTGCAGAAAAATGGTTACCAAACGTAGGCATAGTGTTCAACATGGTTTACAGTGAACATAACCAACATGTCTTTTTTTTTTTCTATACTAGGTTTTTGTACGCTTTTGCTACATCAAAAGTTTGTGCACTTTAGGTATCCGATCATATCGATCATGGTTTCTTGACTCAGAGCAGTTCTTTTTTATCAGGAAACAAAGTTTTGACAAGTTATTACTTCGTTTAAAATTCATCTTAGTGCATGTTTGGCTAAAATTATAATCTCTTAATAATTTGAAGTCCAAGTCTAATATTAATTTTAATAACATATTCACATCTACTATTCACACATTTAGTAGGACCTATTGTTCTTTATTATAATTTATCCCAAACAAGTAATACTAATTGGTTATAGGACGTCCTGAAAAAACAGAAATTCGCAATGCGTGTAACTCAAGAGCCAGTTTGCAGTTATGAGGTCCTCTGTGAATAGGGGTGGGCATGAATTGTACTGGATATTGGTGAGAATTAAGTCCTTGTTGTCATTCATTCTTTAAAATTCTTTTTTTCTCAAACTTATTTTCAACCACATATTCAAGTAATAAAATATTCTGCACGTAGACTCGAAACCTTTTTCCTGCTTTTTAACAATACATCCTTAAAAAATTCACTATTTTAAAACTCATTTTTTCCTAACTACAAAACGGACAATAAAGGTTTTCACGTGAACTGATGGAACCAAATTGGACCACTTCGGATGGGGAAAAAAAACCACTCAATCCCGAAGATCCGAAGCCTGTAGCCATTCGTCCTTCGTGCTTTCTTCATCATTTAAGTCATTGTTATGTCTCGACAGCATCTTTCTCCTATCAATTTTAAATCTTCCAAGAATCTCACACACACACAGACACTATCTACTCTCTACATTCTTTAGTGGCCCAGCTGTACCAAAACATACGGTCGAGAAGAAGAACAAAATATAAAAGGAAACTTTTTAAGAAAATAAATGCGTGAATTGGGAAAATATCAAAGGAAACGAAGATAAAAAGATTTAGAAGTAATGTTATCTATCATTATTAGCGTCCGCCTTAACATGGAGAGGATTTCCCTGAAATAAATATAGGCGTGTCACGGTGTCAGGAAACAATATGAAGTCATCCCTATTTCATTGTCCAGGGAGCTTTGAAGAGGGATCAAATCCAATCAAAAAAGGAGTTTTCTTTTAGGAAAACGATTAAGAAACATAGGGATCAAAATGCAAGTACAATGAAAATATCGGAGTCAAGGAAAATTATCACATCCATTTTGGAAGAAAATCTGTGCAATCGAAGTGAGCCCAGGAGGCAAGTGACATGCCCGCGCTACTAATTGAGTGCCGGCATGTAACTGTGCTATCAGTAATAAAGTAATCGATGCCTTTCGAAACACTTTCTAGTTAGTGCTTTAATTTGATTGCAGCTAGCATGCTTGACTAATCAAAGAGAAAGGGTCACTTGTTTAGTAAAGTCATGCGAAAACCATCTCTATCTCATCTTATTCGGTACGAACAGGCACAAAGAAGTCAATAGAAACAGAGCGACAAAAACTCTTTCAAGCTAACCTTGGTACACTTCTTTATGGAACAAAAGTGAGGTATTCATACACCAGCCTTCACGAAAAAGGATGAATGGGTTCAAGTTTAAATTATATATTTATATCCAACATTTTCAAGGCTATTGGATTCCTACTTTTTCTTTTTATGGAAGTGGTGTTTCAATGTACC